GGATTACCATTAGGCAACAGTAAACATGAACTTAGGACAAAAAACATACGTTATATTACACCTCTACCCTACCACGTCTCCACAACGGCCACCTATTTCTTCTGTTTCCAAGGTGGCCTTTGGGTAGAGGTTCAACTGCAGGGCGATTAAGTTTGAATCATTACTTCAAAGCAAATTAGAGGCGCTTAAGGGGCGTATGTCTGAGTCATAGAACTAAACCAGGTTAAATATAGTTAACACCAACACACAGCCACGATGCATGTAGCCTCGTTTTGAAACTGACAGTTTTTGGAACTCGGAAATGCCAACGTCTGTCGTACAGCTACGTCAAACCCTTTAGTCTAACGCCCAACGGTAGTAGTTATGAAGTGATGAATATATGAATATCATATCTGCGGATTGAAGAAATAAATCCCAGCAATCCTGAAAAAGTTCAAGCAAGCTGCAATTCGAACCATGACCTCTATGATACTAGTGCAGCGCTTTTCGCGGGCGTACGTTGCGTCTTTAACAGAAACGATCTTGCATTTATTTCCTGAATTCGGGGTTCCAATATAGAAAATTCATGTATTTGTCATTTCATCTTCATCTTTTCCAGGTATAATACAAACAAAATTAATGATCAGCTCCCAGTTACGTGGCTTGCCGACGCAAATTGGTTAGAGCCCTGTATCCGTATCGCAGTCAGGGTTAATTCCGGCAAGCCCCCGATTCTTTTTAGGCTTTTTTAAGCAACTGCATAAGAAGAGACTTTAACTGTGCATTTCTTATATCTATCCGGAAGAGGTGTCATGTTTTATGAACATGGGTCCAGTGTAAAAAGTTGATAAATTACTCTCACGCCTCCCGCCGCAACTGAATAAGCTTGAATACATCCTGGTCGTCATCAATTCTTGCGTCTCACCAGAAGCCCATCAATGCGTTAGAATTAAGTAAATATTGGGAGTTGAACCACAAATTGACGATAAAGTTTTTTAAATTAATCTGAATCGAAGCTGGTGGCTTTATAAAAATAAATCTATAGTGAATTATGCATTGTTCATTAGTTGAGGCATATTTTCGGTCTCTGCGATGTCAGAGGAAACTGCTTTTCTTAGTGTTTTCCTTCGAGAAGCACAATATTATTGCAAAAATATAAATTATTTTTTTTATTTTTTTTTTAAATGCATGCATAAATTATGCAAAATTTATCGGCCTGAAATCTTTTGCCGGGTAAAATTTCATGCTTTTCTACAGAGGGTAAAAGGGTATTTTCTTCTTTTTCAAAACCTTTTTTTTATTTTTTCCCTTTCAAAAGGGACTCAACAATAATTAATAGCTTCAGTCTATACCTCTGTAAAAACCTGCTGAGATATCATCGATCCATTCCAATATGGTGAATTTCCTACAATTTTCAAATTTACTTGACGCGTTACTTAATACTTGTTTCAGTCAAAAGGTTTTCGCTTTCAAAGTTGTTATAAACAACAGCTGCAAACGTTTTAAAGTTCCTGTTGATAAAACATAATTTTTGCTTCAGCTTCAAGCTGCTTTCCCTACGGCTTAAACTCAGGATCAACATTCCTAATGCTGTACGATCTTTCAGGTATTTGAGACTTACCAAACTATTTTCCATGAAACGAAAGGAATATCCTTAACTTACTTTACTTTTTCTTTGTCTGTTTTTTTTTTTTTTTCCTTTTTTTATTTCATGAATGTCCGTCTGACATTAATTATAAGACTGAGAAGAAAGGAAGAGTTGCTGCCTGTAAAATTTGATCAGAGCTCATGATTGTTGTACAGTTTAAGGCCAATGGTTTATGCTAAACTTTAAAAGCAAAGTACAATAGGCATATAGCCTTTATATAAAAAGAAAATACAAAAAAAGGGGGGAAATGTAAGTTATATCGAGTAATGTTACTTATAAACAGTAGACCTCAACCTGATTGTAGTGTCAGTGCCGTATTCTTCAGTACTGCGCTCCAGCCCGGGTAAATATCATACACGAGCACATATACAGAAGAGTCTCGATGGCGGACTTCTCCGGAAAGTGGAAATATGCAAATGTAGTTGTTCAATTCTATACTCTCGGTTTCAATTCGATTTATTCTCCGTTTTTGAATGTTGTAATGAGTTAAGGGTTGAGACTGTCGCGTAATTTTTGCGCCCGAACGCAAAATTTACTCGCGTAAATGACATATAGGACATATAGGTAATGTAACTATGAAAGGCCACGCGTAAAACGTGAAAGTTGAGCGAGGTTTAACTTTTACGTTTACGCGTGACCTTTCGTACAGTGTCTCTATGTTATTTAGTCGCGTAAAATTTAAGTGCGTACGCACGTAAAAATTATGCGACAGTGGAAATCCGCCTTTATCCGTTTAATCACATTGTAAATTAATGTAAATTTAAAATCTCTGAGTATTTTTTGTAGAACATCGCTGAAGAGAAAAGATGTCACCAATGCGTGAAAAAACTGAAAATGGTGCGTTACACGCTATTAATACACTTCGGTAAGCCAGTCAGCTCTCAGAATCTTGCTCAGAATTATAAGACAATGAAGTGCCTTAGTCTTCAGCAAAATGTATTACTGTTTGAATGTTAGGGCAAATACTACAAAAAAAGAATGTTAGAAAATTGCAGGTCGTTCAAAACTTTGCTTGCCGAATCGTCAACGGTGCGAAAAACTATGATCATGTAACACCCATTTTAAAAAGCCTGTCTTGGTTGCTTGCTAAGGACCAACTGTACTATCGCCAAGCTATTATGGCTTTCAAATGCATGACCAGTCAAGCCCCTGAATATCTTACATCCCAATTTATTACCCGTTAGCAAGTTAGCGAACGAACAACTCGGAGTAGCCAAAAGCTAAACATCCCTCTTTTCAGAACTGCCTCCGGACAAAAAACCTTTTATTGCAGGACTGTTAAACTTTGAAACAATTTGGAATCTTTTCTTAAGTTAAGCACATCTGTTGAAGTTTTTAAACGTTCCTTAAGGAGCCAGCTTTTAGATAATTTTGCAAATACTTCTTAGTTAAGTTTAAAACATTGTAATTAGTAATTAGCTAACATTGTAATTAGTAATAGATTAAGTGTTGTAATTAGTTATTATAAATGTTGTAATATAATCATTGTTCCTGAAAAGCCCCTTTGGGGAGGTAACAATAAAGTATGTATTTATGTATGTATGTAATTGCAAATAAAAGGACAAAAAAACGACATCAAACCAAGGGTAAAATTGCACCACATCAAGCATTATCGAAAAGGAAAAGCTGAAGACCGAGATGTTCGAAAAGAACGGGTGAAAACGCAGCAAAACCCAGCACAATTAAAACGGAAGTGAACACGCGACAATACATGTGACCCGAAACAGATGCTGATGTTTATTTCTAGCGGACTGACTGTTATTTCATAATTGGTCTTTTTGCCACTTTTTGTATGTCATTTTAAGAATACACGTTGCCAGGGATACCATTACTAAATTAAAAAGGTTGTAATTTTATTCATCGCCCCTTTCTTGTTTTCTTTAAAATTAATAATCATGGACCGAAGCAATTCCTTTTTTTGTTACTATTTCTATTCCAATAGTTTCCTTTTAAACAGAATAAAGCGACTTCTTTTATAATGCAACTGATGGCATATGCCGTGATCTTCGCGCCAATTAGAAGTGTCATTAAATGTAGCCAGGGGGTCATTCGAAAAGAACATTATCTAAATTCAAAAATATTTGCTGTGCGCGTTTCAGACGTTAAATGAATGAATAGTGATGTCTATAAAATGCAAAAATTTAAAAATTGTTCGAACATTATTTTTACCCACTTAGTCAAAAGGAAAACAGTGATTGGCTAGAACGCATACGGAAATAAGGAGATCGCGGTGAAAATTTTCCGTCAAACTCAAATGGTAGTTTTTTTGGTACGAGAAAAGGTAACGGGATATTGAGTTGTACCAACCATAAAATGCCACTAAATTTTCCATTTTCTTCTTAGCGGGAAGCCTGGCACTGGTTATCCACACAAATGGTTCAGAAATTTTCGTTCGTTTCTGTAAAAGCGGGGGAAAGGGAATACCAAATGGAATGGTTCATCCAGGTGGAATGTGTGCTATGCCGTATGTAATGCGTCTGTGCTCACTGCTCGCGGCACTTTTGCCACTGCGCTTTGTTAAATACATCCGTCGCGCGCTAGTTTCCCCCCAACCAAGCGAAAGTAGCACGTAAGAAAGCGAACCTTGACTTTGTCACTTGTGTCTTCTCTCCATTTGGGCTTACAGATTCTGATTAAAGTTATAATATAACCAGATTTTCCTCCTGTTGTTAAAAGTGGTAATTTTATCTTATTTATATCTTTAGCACTCCATCGCAGAGTATTGTTCAGGGGCACCCAACGACTGTTTTTTGTAAAACATCTGTTGGAAGAAGCAAATATGGCCTAAGATTTTCTTTTGCTTGAGGACGGCTAAAAATTCCTAGATGAACGTTCCATTCATGTACAATTTTACAAGCTTTTCTAATAAATTCCCTACGATTTTCAGAAGTCAAGTAATTTTTAATGTTTTACTACCCAGGCTAAACTATTTTTCTTAAAAAAACGAAACCTAAAATTTTCGGATTCTAAAATGTGATGGTGCGAGGAATCAGATAAAATTCTTACTTTCGTAAAACGTTAAATTACACCAAAAATTTTCGGAAAAAAATACTGAAGCTCTTGTAATTTCGAAAAGACTTAAGTTCCCCTAGGATGACCGAACGGATAAAAATTTTGTAGCGCCGCTTAGAATGCATTTCTAGAGATCTAAAAGTACCCTGGATAGCCTAAAAAGTGTTTTCAACGTATTTTGAAGGAAACCGTCGTTGGGTGCCCCTGATTATTTTCCTCGAAGTTATTAAAAAAGGGAAAGAAGAGTTAATAATTATTTTATTCAACAATTGTAACAGGGAAACTCATTGGTTCTGCTTACCCTCCTCCCCCGCGCCCTTCTGAACAACACCTTAACATCACGTTTTACTTAAACAGGAGAATGAAGTTGGTATTTGTGCTATCGCTGATGCTGTGTTACAGTTCAGCTCAGAGTGCTGATTCAAGTGAGTATATTGTACAGTCCAACCTATGTGAGTGACTACCTTTCGTAAGCGACCATCTAACCAAAACACCAAAACTTTCCCAGTGGAGGCCTTACAGTTGGTACCTCTAGTAAATTACCACCTCCTGTAAGCGACTGCGACCATTATTTGGGTCTGACGGTTTAATGATTTCCATTGGTTTTAACCTCTTGTAAGCGACCACTTCATGGTCCTTCAAGCATGGTTTGATCTCTATTTTAGCTGTGTGTACTATGCTAATAGGAATATACGGAGAACTTTAGCAAAATATGGAACTACACACTTGCAATATCTTATCTTCCATGAAAAAAGTTGTGTTCGGACACCTTCTCCTTAAGCGGCCATTGAGTCTGCATTTTTTGTGCTCTCTTATAGGGGTTCGCATGTATTTTTATCGCGCAGAATATACTATACGCCCCTATTTTTCTCCTGTCTGTCCACCCAATCAGCTGACATGGAGAAAACAGAAACTAGTGTTTAACTACCAAACATCTGGCAACTTTTCTTCTCTAAGCTTTTTTTTTGGCAATTTTCGTGATCCACCTATAGTGTTCAAAACCTCAATCACCCTAGGTCAGATTTGATTTCAGGTAATATCCTGTAAGTTTGCCACATTGCATTTTTAAACCAGTGGGAAAATAGTGGGATTTAGGAAATTCGTTTAGTTTGTTATGTCATCTCAAACTTTCGAAAAAGCAAAGAACGTAGAAAAAAGAACATTGAGGGCGAGACCCTTAAGTTCTCTATTGATTAAGAAAACACAAGTCTACGTGTAAAATTACAATCTGATTTTATAGGATGTGGTTCTGTGGTAAACAACGCCTTGACAAGTCCTGGATTTCCAACACAATACCCAAATAACATGCACTGTGTACAACGTTTCCATTCCATCCGGAAAGGCGCTGAAGATCAGTTTTTCAACTTTTTCCCTGGAACCACATACTCGATGCGGGTAAGTAATTTAACAATAGACAGCTTTAGAGCCACGTTTACGGCAAAAGGCAAACGGCAAACGTCAGATTCAAGTTGAGAATATCTCAAAATTAGAAAAAAGTAGCAGATACAAACAGCTCAAAGTAATTCTTATGGATAAAACTGGCATAAACAATTCAGAGGTAATGAACAATTAACATCAAGAAAAGGGAAAACTTTTTTTTTTTTTTTTTTTTTTTTTTTTTTTTTCAATATTTATTGATAATCACATTAAATAATTACAGTTACAATACTACAGAAAAAAAAACAAAAAAACAAAAACAAAAACAAAACAAAACACTTTAACAATAGACATTAACAGAGTAAAGCAAGATTAATTATTAAATTAATACAGGGCTAAAAGAGATTATAAAAAGTACAACAGGGCAATGAAATAATACGAAGTTAATGCAGTTAACTTAAGTAAGGCGTCAGTATCCACTTTCTTTTAAAGAATTCTTTGTTGCTGATTTTTTCTTCTGTTTCATATTTAGCGATGATCTTGGCCCTAAATCCATAAATGTTTGGAAAGATTTGTTTGCTCCTACAGTCCCACAAATAGAGTTTTCCAATAATTATAAAATAGTTCAGCAGTTGAAGTAAAGGGCAAGTATTTTCCGTCAAAATTCCAAACAGCACATTTTCCAAGCAGAGACGAATTCGTTGATTCGAAATAAGGCACCAATAAAGTTCAAATTCAATCCAAAACTGTTTAGAGCGCGAGCAGTGATAGAACAAATGAGTTAATGATTCGGGTTGATTGTCACAGAAAGAGCATAAATCATTTGCTCTAAAACCTATTTTATACAACTTTGTATTTGAGTAAAGAATTGAGTTAATTACCTTGTACTGGAATGCTTTAACATACGATTCGACAACGATAGAGTGAGGCAGCTTAAATATTTGCCTCAGATTGTCGCTGTTAAAATGAAAGTTACTCTGTAATTTTTTAATAATATTGGGCGGTTTAGCTTTTTCTCTGATGAATAGGTTGTAGTAATCCTTTGATTTCCCTTTCGTAACATCAAAAGTATTGTCACCCACCACAAATGTTGGAGAGTTTATGGAAGGATACCTGTCATAACCTCTTAACGATAATGGAATGGACCTACGTAAGCCAGCCCATTCTAAAATATTTGTTTTGCATACTTTTTTAGACAGTTCATTATAAGAATCAGTGCTGTTCAGACTAAGTAAAAGATCTTGAATGCAAATGACTCTCGCATTAACATAATGTTTATAATAAACCGGCTTGTTTTCTACTTTTATTTCTTTGTTATTCCAGATTATGGTTTTCCAGTCTTCTTCAGTGGCAAACGTTTCACGAAATTGCGACCACCATAACAAAAGTTCCCGATAGAATTGAGAAGGAATTGTGTAATCCGAGATATTATAGTTGCAGTTAAAAAAGAACAATCCCCCAACGGAGCCCATTATGTGTTGTAGGTAGCTTTTCCAAGTTCCATTAGTCCCACTGAAGATACGTTTTAACCAAGCTAATCTCAATGATTTAACCATGCACTCGAGATCAACCATTCTGAGCCCTCCCTCTTCGTATTCATTTATAACTGAAGCTCTTGTTACCTTATCTACACCTTTCCAGAGAAATTTAAACAGTATTTTATTCAATTCTTTTAGCAATTCATTGGGAGTTGGAAGAATCGAACAAACGTAAATGTACTTGGGGATAAGAAAAGATTTGATTATTGTCACCTTACCGTATATCGATAAGCCTCTAGCGGACCATATATTAATAAGCTTTTTAATTGAATCCAGTCGTTCTATAAAATTCTTTTCTTTAAGCAATTTTTGGTCGTAAGTAAAATATACACCTAGAGCTTTTATTGGCTCGTCCGGCCATTTAACACCGAATGGTTTTTCTTTATAATGTCTCTTAGATCCAATCCACATACCTTCAGTTTTTGAACAGTTAATCTTGAGTCCAGAGATGATTTCGAATTTGTTAAGTAGTTCAAATAACCTTTCGGCCGAGCTTGTGTCAGCTAACACAGCGGTTGTATCGTCTGCAAACTGTAAAAGCTTAGTTTCCTCGGTTCCTATTGTGATTCCTTTAATTGACTCTTTTTGCCTTATGGCAATTGCTAAAGTTTCTACAGCAATTATAAATAAGTAAGGAGAGAGTGGATCACCTTGCCTAACACCACGTTCCAGAGTAAAGAAGTTAGAACTAACGCCATTGTTTATAACACAGCTTTGAATGTTGTTATAAAAGGTTTTCACCCATTGAAGGAAGTCTCGTCCAAAGTTAAACTTTTTAAGACTCTCAATGAGAAATTCCCATTCCACACTATCAAAAGCTTTTTGAAAATCTATAAACAACAGTAAACCTGGGATGTTTTCCTTAGCTGTGAAGTCCATAATATCGAAGATAGAACGTATTGCTTCACCAATGAAACGATCTTTAACATAACCCGTCTGGTTGTAGTGAATGATACTGGGTAACACCTTTTTAACCCTTGCTGCGATCACCTTGGACATAATTTTCGTATCTACATTAACAAGAGATATCGGCCGCCAGTTTTCGAGGAGAGTGTGATCTTTTCCGCTTTTCTCAAGCAGAGTAATTACAGCCTGTTTTTGTGAGCCTGACATTTCCCCTTTTTCGAAACATTCATTTGCGCACCTGATAAAACTTTCGCTTATTAAAGGCCAAAATTTTCTATAAAATTCAGCTGGAATGCCATCATTTCCAGGGGATTTATTACCCTGGAAGCTGTCCAAGAGTTCAGAACATTCTTCCGGAGAAATCAATCCTTCACAGGAATTTTTTTGTTCCTCTGAAAGTTGGGGAATATTCAGATCGTTCAAAAATGAAGATATTTTCTCTCCTGTATTAGGACTATTAATGCTGCTTTTGTACAATTCCCTGTAAAAACGCTCTTGTTCTTTTAGTATATAGTGCGGATCCGTTGTAGTTTTACCATTTATGCACAGTTTTCTTATATGCTTTTTAACGTGGTTCCTTTTTTCTAAGTTTAAGAAATATTTTGTGCTTTTCTCTCCATGTTCATGCCATCTAGCCCGTGCTCGTATTATTACGCCTTTGGTTTTTTCTTCGTAAAACGACTCCAACTTCTCCCGAACTACGTTATAATGGTTGTGTTATGGTCCTTTGGATTATTTTCAAGTTTACCCTTTGCTTTACTTAATTCTTCCTGAAGGTCAAGTTCCTTTTTCACCCTTTCTTTTGCCTTTCTTTTAGAGTATTGAATAGCATGAGCTCTTATGTTATATTTAACCCAATCCCATATCATTCGATTATCTGTGAATTCTTTCTGTCCTTCTGCTGTCCAAAGTGGAATCATCCTGGCCATATCTTCTTCGTACTCTTCATCATCTAACAGTGAGCAGTTCATTTTCCAGTTTCCTGGCCCTTTCAATTCGTTCTCTAACTTTCCGAGTTCTAAAGAAATTGCATCGTGATCTGTTCGTACAGCTGGGATTATTTCAGTCAATTCAACAAAATCGCTCAGATTGTTAGATATCAACCAGTAATCGAGACGACAGAACACTGGGGGGAGATTTCTGACTCCATGTAAAGCTTTTTGCGTCAGGATTTTTGGATCTCCAAATATCTACTAAATCTAATTTACTTTTGAAATCGTCGACACAAGAGATAACTGATTTCCTTTTTATACTTGCTCCGCCTTTTTTTGTCGAGTAATGGATCGAGTGGGCAATTTAGATCTCCTCCTAGTATAATGTTGTCAACAGAATCCAGATTTTCATTTTGCAAAATTGAAAGTAGCTTGTTGAAAAAATTCACTTGGTCTTTATCTTTGTTCGGCGCATAAACATTAATCAGCACATAGACTTTATCTTGGATGCAAGCTTTTAAAATAATGTATCGCCCCTCGGGGTCTACAATTTTATGATTAATGCTGCAATCAATACCATTTTTAAACAAAATCGCAACACCTCGCGCATTTGAACTACCATGGCAAGATATTATCTCAGCACCCCATTCATTTCTCCATTGATACTCTGTTGCAGCGATCGAGTGCGTCTCTTGCAAAAAAACCAGGTCTGCCTTACGTTTACGACACCAGAGAAAGATGGTTCTTCTTTTGCGGAAATTACTTAAGCCCTTCACATTAAGCGATATTAGTTTAAAAGCATCAAACAACTAACTTTTGTGTTACTGTATGCAAATTGTGGGACTGCATAGCTGAAAAACAAAAGAGCCGAAGGTGTGATTGAACAAACGAAAGGCGTGAATGTAGTAGACATACTTTGAAAGCAAGTAAAGGATACTGATTGTGCATTGATAAGATTAATAAATAAACCCAGTAAGAGAAAAATTAGAATAGAAAAACACTCGAAAAATCTAAGTACAACAAGAAGAAGAAGAAATAAAATAAATAAAATAAAAATAATACAGGGAAACACGTTAACCAAAACACTAGCCAGCTTAAGCTCACCTTTGAAGCAGATAACTCCAACGCTCGTAAAATTACCACACTTTGCATCCGGTTATAGTTATAAGTTGGTAATGTGGAAAGTATGCAACCTTACAAATCGTTTAAATCGCTTAGAAAATTAATCCTGATCGGAGACCCCGACGGCGAGGTCTTGACATAAACTTTTCCGTCCAAGGTCCACACACTGACAAGAGTTCCATCGTGTTTGCGTTTGTTAACTTCTTCAACCAGCTCTCTTCTATATGGCGTTAGGTTCTCGTTTAAGTATATTCTACGGTTACCAGAAGAAGGGTATCCTGGAAACAGATCATGCAACCTCACATCCTTTAGTTTTGTTCGCTCTTTGTACAGCCTCGCCTTTGCTTTGTGATTTACAAATTTAGCGATGATTGCTTTGCCCTTGTTAATTTTATGTGATATTTCTATATCCTCGGGTTCTACTGTAATGTTGAGGGCTTCGGCTAGCTTAATAACAACTTGTTCCGTGTTTGTGTAGGCATCTTGTGGTATTCCATGGATTTCCACGGAATTTTTCCGCGAGTACTGCTCTAAGTTGTCAAGCTCTTCCGATAGGCGCTCGGTTTCCTCGCGCTGATTCTCTAGGTCTTGATACATTGTTTTCAGTCGGTTGTTCATCGATGAAATAGTATTCTTCAGTTCTTTATTCGCACCCGTGGCCTTCTTAAGAGATCCCTTTAAGTTTTCGATTTCTTTTCCATTGAAATTTGCTGATTCTGTTAGGCTGTTAAGATCCTTTCTGTTGGAGTTCACAGAGCATTTCAGTTCTTCAAACTCATTTCGCAACTCTATGTTTTCCTTTAGAATAGTGGATAGCTGTATCTGAATATCGATAAGAATGTTCTTTATCTCAAGAAGACTTGGTTCCTCTTGGCTTTCTTCTGATAACATTTGAATAGCTTCTTCGATACCTGTGTCCATGCCGCTTGCCGCCATGTTGGCTTTTTTCCCAGCTCGAGTGTCTTCTTCAGTGGATCCACGTTCTCCACGTTTGTTTTTTTTCCCCTTCTTTGAGGACATTTACGTGATAAGTAAGATCTCACATTTTAGAGTGAACGGGGGAAATCTAGATGCCGGGAAAGCGTGGTAAGGGATGAGTTAGTGGGACATCGTTGAAGGCACGTCCGCCATGATCCACGCGCAGGCTCAGTCCAGAAAAGGGAAAACTTGGTCACGTGGTACAGATTCACTTTTGCCGTTTACAATAAAGTTAACGTGACTGATGACAAACTATTGAAAACCACTCAACTGACTCAGTTTGGTAAGTGTAGACTAGGAACTTAACTTAAAGTGATTCTTGTTACTCTAAAACGTAACATATTTGCTGGTCAAAACATATTCACGAATTCCGACGTTCGGCTTGTACGCTGCAAATTTGCGGATCTTTGATATTAGGCCTAGAAATAAGCCAAATCAGGCTTCTAAAAACCCAGGCTGACAGGTAAGTATATCCCGTCGGGAAAGACACCGGCCAATGAGAATACCGTAAAATTCCGAAAATAAGCCCCTCCATGTATAAGCCCCTCCAAATATAAGCCCCCCAAAGCGATAACGCAAAAAAACCCTCCATTAAATCGCCCCTCCAAATATAAGCCCCCTGGGGGCTTGTAATTGGAAAATTGCCATTGTTTTAAATCAGCTTTGCAGTAGTCTTTGGACTTCTTGTTCTTGGTTCTTTATATTTTGGCTGATTTGATCTCTTTTCTAGAGATCCAACGTTTGCAACTAGCAGGATCTTCGTCCACGGTTTTTGCAGCTAATTTAATCCCTTAAATACAAAGTAAAACAAAACAAAAACGGTAAATTCACTTCCAACTATAAGCTAACCCGATCGGTTTTGAAACGCAAATTTCCCTCCGTAGATAAGCCCCTCCGAATATAAACCCCTCCAAAAATAAGCCCCTCAAAAAGGGCCTTTGAAAAAAAATAAGCCCCGGGGCTTATTTTCGGAATTTTACGGTAGCTCTCTAATTTTAAAATAAAGATAGACCTAGCTTTAGAAACTGATAACACGAAGAAGAATGTAAAACGCACTGATGTTCTTTAATTCTTAAAAGAATTAAAGAGTATCTGCCAGTAAATTAGCGGTCTGGTCGATATGCCGTGAAAAATAGATTTCACTCATTTCTTGTGCGTTGAAAGACTTTCATGTACCTGCACTTAACGGCCCCAATCCGCTGGACCGTATTTTTAAAACTCTCGAATTTTTTAGACAATTTTGGTTCACCCCATGCATCTAAAGCTCGCTTTGCGCTGCTTAATTCAAGGCTGAAAATCAACAAAACTTTGAATTTTGATTTGGAAAGAAATAGTAATTATTAGATAAAAGATATAATACAAAATACCATCATAATTCCTATGACATAACACAGCGTTTTCTGCCAACATTAAGCACAATTTAACGCCATAGCAAGATTTTAACGATCCCCTTCCCGCACTGATAGATCAAGTGGAGCCAAACCACCCCCCAAATGGGGTCCCAAATGTGTCATTTGCTCTCGGATAAAAAGTTGAAGTAGAGTAATATATATGGAAACCATGATATTTTGTGAAAGATTACTTGCGAAAAAAATATAATTTCTACGATTTCGTCGATTCTTTCTTCTCCTAAAATACTGCCTAAACAGTGCATTCATTAGTCATTGACCAGGTGACAGCTTTTACTTCATCAGTATGGTATTTCTGTTTCTTCGGCGCAGACGGGCTCTCTCTCGAAATGTTCCTAGCGGCAGAGAGCGGTGGGAGTCGGCTGTTTCGCAGCCTAATGAACAAAATTCAAACTATTATTTACAAAATCGAACTTCGTTGCTGGTGATCGTAGATAGCGGGCTCAAAAGGTGTAGAGACTTCTCACTGGTTAAACCGAGATCTGACCAATTATATGGTTTTCGATCTGGGAAATGCCATAGCTTTTTAAAATCCAAATTAAGACTTCACGCCTCAAAGTCTTTCCGTGAGTTGAGTTGAGTTAAATCCCTTTTACAGGCCTTTGTCATCTGTAAGTAAGTCAAAAGCAAGAGAACATAAAAACCTCTTGTTGAACGTTAATTGGCATTTGTAGACGGCGGCAATTCGACTGCTCGGGAGTGAGTCAAGTGCAACATAAAATGAAGGAATTTGATCGGCGGCTTGATATTCCACAGAAACGTTTGGAGCTTCCTTAACTCCACCATAAAGCACGACTCGCAATTAGCTGAGGCAGGACAACATAGAAGGCTTTTATGTTCTCTTGGCGGTTAGGGTTATTTCTAAGAATTTAACTGCCCTTGATAAGTAAAAAACATATTTTTTCTCTTCTAGGTATGATTATTTGAGGATTGTCGATGATGACAACAGAACACTTGGTACATATTGTGGGAACGAACTTAGTGGAAAGGTAGTTTTGGTCACTGGAAACTACGCATTAATAACATTCCACTCTGATGGTATTGTACAATCCCCAGGATTCCAGCTCACGATATTATCTACTGAAAATCAAAATGGTATGTTAAAATAAGAAGGGATTCTTTCATAAAAAGTAAATAAAATGAAATAAAATAAAAAAAAGAATATAAGTAAGTTGCCATTCAGGTAAGATGTCAAAGTTGATGTTTAGAGGTCAAGGTGAGGTGCGCGGCATTTTTGAGAAAACTGATAAACAAACAATACAACTAATATTGATAAAATAGGCAAAATAAGAGGTAATTTCGGCCTTTTTTTTTTTGCTGTTAAGCAAACTCTAAGTCTGACTAGGAACACTATACAATCTTTCATTCGGGGTTATGCTGTAGTGCAGTATTTCTTAACGATTTCGCTTTTTTTTTTTAACTGTGCTCTCAAGATTATTAGATCCTGATATCGGGGATGGAACAAGATGGTACTGAGATTTTACTGCATAGTACTGATGTTTGACCGTATTATACGTCTTTCTCCGAGAGAAAGTGAGAAAAATGTTCTTTCCAGTAGAATGCAAAACAATCGTTTTTTTTTTTTCTCAAAATCAGTATAGAAATCGGTAAAGCGTGGCGTAAGAGTCTTAAGCGCGAAGTGCGCGCGAGCCTCACACGCCCGTAAGGCGTGTGAGGCGAGAGAAAAAAAAAACTACCATTAGCATTGCTTCTCTGTGAAATGTAGTATATAAAGTAGAGGATCAAAAATGAGTGGAAGTGGCAGTGAGCAAAAAAAGCCTGTGCCTGCTCCTCGAGGGGGGAGTAAGCCGAAAGTGCCGAGCACTTCGGATAAATTGTAGAATTTCACAACACAGTTCGGCAATTTTATGAGTGGATGGGCAAGCTCGGAAAATGTGTTTTTTGCCCCCACCAGAAAAGGAGAAACATTACCAAAGTTGTCCTCGAGGAAGGAGAATCTTTCTCCAAGAGTTTGCTCTCCGGTGGAACAAAGGTTAGAAACTGGGCTGCGATGCTTTCCCAAATTAGAGAAAAACTGATCACGCCAAATGACAATTATTTCGATTGAAAAGAATGGGTAAATCCCCTCATTCCAATCTACTTCTTCGTGATTTGGCTCTGTAAATCAGATCACTATCCGTGATAATTTAAACATCCTGCTAAAAACGCTAACGAACTGGGCCTAGCGTGACAAAACCTTGCAGGAAAAAGTCACATTCAAGGACACAAAGAAAATGGCTTATAATTATTCAAATCCAGGAGGCACTTTGGAGAAATTAAACAACCAAAAACCCTTAATCAGCCGCAATGAAGAACTTTACATTTCTACAGAGGCCAAAAAAGAAAATGCTCTTGCCTCAGTGGGCAAATCATGCCGACCAGAGAAAATCAATATGCGTATCACGACCTCTCAGTATGAAATATATTTAATAAGCGGCCAAAATTCACATTTGCCCAGTGAAAACGTTTTCCTCCAAAGCGTAATCTACTCGACAAAGAAAACAATTATTTTAGCATGAGGTAAAAGTCGTGTGTTTTCTACCGATCCCCTTTTTTTACACAGGCGTGATAACACTGAAGAACTCTTTGCATGAACAAACATCTGATAAATAAGGCTGTTGGTAGGACACAGAAAACATCCTTTCCCCTGAGCAGCATTTCCAAAGCTTCCTTCTGCTCCGATGTTAAAACAAATCCCAGTTCTTGCTCGAGCAAATCCAGGCAATCAACATCCGTCATTTTACAGCGAAAGCTTTAGAAATCAATTCATCACGCGCGGTACGAAATATCGCGAATGACTTGTTGAAAACATTACTTGACAGCTTGTTGACAGCTTGCATCGAAATTTAGCCAATAGGAATTGCCCGTGGCTGGGAGAAGCGGGTAATTCGAACGAAATTAACGTATGCAAAACGGACAGTCCGTATTTTTAGCGTCTCTCCCCAGTCTCGCTCTCTGTTTTCAGCCTCGTTCCAGACCTTTCGTTGGACTGGTCGCGCGTACTTGAATAAGCAAAAATACGGACTGTTTTGCAGTCTATCTTTCCAGATGAGGTCGTTTCATGAGTACGTGGCTACTTTCAACAATATGACTATGAAAATAATTCTCCAAGAGTAGAATAAAAAATACGTTATATTCTGTATTCCTTTAGTTGAACATAAAAGTTCGACATTATGACATGCATGCTGCTCAGTATATAGGATGGATATAACACTGGTGAAGAAATACGTAGCAAAATTGTACCCTGTTAAAGAAGAAATAAATTCACGTCAGTCTTTAACCCTCGGACTTTTTCACCCGTGGTACAAGAAGGTGCAGTTGCAACCCCTCTGAGTTCTTGCTATGTTATACAGGTCAAGCTTACACCTGTAGATTTCGTTAATTAATGAATCGATTTGTTTGAAAAATGAATTCGTTGTACGATATATACGTAGAGTCGTTGCCGCAACCATGGGTCAATTTGATAAAACTTTTACAAGTGTAATTTTTATGTGTAGCTATTGTCTTAGGATCCGTAAACAATAGCTATACACTCGTAAATTACACTTGTAAAAGTTTATTAAATTTACCCCAGTATTTCAAATCTGCCTTCTTTCACATATGCATAATGAGCAGTGATTTTTTTAACGATACCTCTCTGTATTCGGTCAGATTGAAAAATCTTTGAATGGATAAAATTGCTTTGAAGACATTTACATCAAATTCAAGAAATCTGAGTGGGTAGAAATTTCATTGTTCTCTCTCGAGTGTGAATTCACTGCTCATTATGAATGCAGGAATGCAGATGAATCTGAAATCTACAACTACCAATCAGCTACCAACGGATTCAACATTCGAATAATAAATTCATTAACGAACATTATGCCATGCGGCCCCGTTAAAGAACAGTTGTGAATTTTAAAATAGCCGCCATTTTATTTATAAATAATCTAGATTTACTTAAATAGTAAAGAAAAGTAACCATTTCTTCATGCTTGAGGTGATATTGTTATAATTTAAAACTGATTAACTGCTTTTGTAGCCTCCCTCGCAGACGTTATCAGGGGTTCGTCACGCGTTCCTGCCCAGGAAACCGTGACAGACCCCTAAGAATGTCTGTGTGGAAGGCTACTGCTTTTGGTAATGGGCGAAATTGCGATAAACTCACATTTTACACAAAAAATTGATTGAAGAGCATATCAACATCAAATGCGCCAATAGTGAGCGACTTAAAAGACGAAAGGTCAATACGTCTACCATTTTGACAACGCCTCCACTGAAATGAAGATGATATCACCTATCCACTATTATAACAGTCTTAAGCGTTACAATTAGCCTGGAAATAATATTTGCTCATATAGCATTTTACGCTTATAGCCTTGCCCAATGACGTAACCATGTAATGGTGTTAGCATTTCTTGTTTCTTTAAGGTGACTCGACCCAGTTTTTTTTAGCGGGTACCATCCTACTTTGAAGCTCTCTGGTATCCCCACCTTTACTTTTATCGTAAGTATAACAAATAGAATGGATAACATATAGATCAATCTACAATATAACATACAATTTTTGGCGATCGGAGTAAATGTCGCATGGTTATAATGCCACGCCCCTTTAAGGTCTGAGTCGAAAATCTGCTGTTGCCAGCATTTTTTCGTGAAAATCTCTTGGCTACACATAGTGCGCATTAGTGCCTTGCGCTGAACAGAGTTTCACCAAAATCGCAAAGACCCAATTCAAGAAATTCAGCGGTTTCCAAATTTAGGTCATAATTTGTGCGAAAATGATAAGCAACCTTTACACGGATTATATCTAATAAACTATGAGATTCATCTCTGTATTTTGGGCATCCTTATAACAGATTGGTCCTTGCAAGTCAGCAAAACGCTTTAGGACCTAACAAATGCGCGCGATTTCGAGCAAAGCAAACATATAGAAATTATAGCTTTCGCTATTTGTTGACGTTTGTCGGCGTTTAAGAGTCAATCTCACGAAAAAAGCATTTTCTTAAAAATTCGTAGTTTTTTTTCCTTCAAATTTTTTCAAGGCCACAATTGATTAACTAACTACCCGGACTCTGAATTTCATGGTCATTGAAAAACTGTGACATTACCTTCTATAAGCCCAAACTTGAGTAAACATTGAAGATTTTTAGCGTTTTGGCTGAGTTTGTGCTGTGGGAGTTGTCTATTCTTTCTAGTCTGTCATGATACAGCATTCTTGTTCAGCACGCGTGCAATGACCACGCTTGGCTGACCTCCGAATGCTCACCGAGATATAATAGTTTAGTATAAGAAAATAGAAGGGATTCCCGTCACGAGTTGGTTTAATTATTGGCTTGCATTAAACCTATGAAAAAATGATATATTTTTTAATAGTAAGTAGATTTAGTGTGTAGCACTTCTTGATTTTTTTGCAAAGGCACAAGAAGCACGAGAATGGATTAAAAATTGTGAGTTAAACCTCTATGTATCACGCGATGGCCTGTCTCACTGTACCAAAATTATCATATTCGAAGATTTTCACGAAAAAATGCCGGCAACAGCAGATTTTCGACTCAGGCCTCAAAGGGGCGTGGCATTATAACCACGTGACATTTACTCCGATCGCCAAAAATTCGTAATTTTGTAGATTGATCTATATGTTATCCATTCTATGTGTTAGACTTACGATAAAAGTAAAGGTGGGGATACCAGAGAGATTCAAAGTAGGATGGTACCCCCCAGAAAAACTGGGTCGAGTCACCTTAAAATTGTTCGAAACTTCGATTGGTCAACACCTGAGCCCGCGATGAGGTCATGTGACACTGGTCAACGGATACCCTGTTTTCACAACATTTCCGTGGGTAGGTACTCGGTTTAAGCATCATATAGTGGTTCCCCGTTAGTTAATATATGGCATAACTTTACATAGCCCTACATAGCCATACTCAGCCCTACACA